CCTTCGTCGGGGTTGAAGGGGGGGTCTCCTAGTGGCTTGTGTCAAGGGAGTCTGAGGGCTTTCGGCTCCTTAAATACCATTTCCTTCTCTGCGTCTCAGCATTTTTAGCATCTCCCTCCTGGCACACCCCTCTTCCTTCCAGTGGCTTCTGGGGCTGCAGGTGCCTGGGCCTTTGGAGGCTTCTGTGGACTGGGCTGGGCACTGTGGCCTTGAGGCTCCCTTGTGCCCAGCCCGGCTGCTTTCCTGCTTCCCAGGGTCACTCGTGGCCGTCTCCTCTGCTGTTCTCCCATCCCTTGGTGCCGACGTCATTCAGAGCTCCTTCCCCGTGGTGAGGTTTGGGAAGGAGTGGGATGACGTGCGTGGCGGGGGGTGGTGGTGGTCCCTAGCCCCTCATTAACCTCCCCCATCTGCAGAATCCATGGATTCACGAAGCATCAGCAAAGGACAGGGCGTTTCATGCGTCTCCCGTGGGCCCTCAGCTCTGCCCTCCGCGGCCCGCACCCTGGAGCCAGTGTGCGGTTGTATAAGGACCGAATCCTGGCTTCCGCTTCTCTCTGGGTGAGCCTAGTCCCTCCTCCAGGGCCTCGCCTAGGGTAGTAGGGATGATCTGTAGTCAGTGGAGACACAGCTCAGCCCTGGGCTAGCCGAGGGGGCCTTTTGGAGGCTGCAGACCCTGGCATTCGCCCTCTCATGTTTCATGGGAATCCCTAGCACAGGGACACGGTAGTGCCCAGTGGATGGCTGGAGACGGGGGAGGGAGGGGCAGGATGGGTGGGCTGGCCCCTCTTGCCAGCAGCCATACCTCTTGGGAGCCCCCACTGGGACTGCACTGTCTGTGTCCCCTGCATTCCATGTCACCTGATGAGGGCACCCCCGCCCCTGCCCTGGGGTCTGCATTTCCTGAGGCAGCTTCTTCATGCCTTGGGCCAGGCAAGCCCCTCTGAGAGTCTCGGGTCCTTCGCGGGTCCAACCGCAGGCAGAGCCCAGCGGGAAGTAAGCTGGCCATCCTGAGCCCCTGGTGTTTCTCACCGACTCTCCAGGGGCCCCTGCCTGCTCTGGGCTGCATGTTCCTCTGGCTTTGGTATAGACGTGGACCCAAGGGGGTGAGCTTCAGCATCTTGCAGAGTAAACGTTCTACAGCTCCCAGCTCTGGCTTCTCCTCTCCTCCTTTGCCCACCCCATCTCCAGGGCCCAACAATAGGCCCCTTCAGTGCCGGGCTCTTGCTGAGGGGGAGGGGGAGGCTGACCAGCTGGGTGGCTCTGCCCAGCCCTGGAAGAGCTCCGGGAGCCATCGTCCCTTCCCTGGAGTCCCGGTGGGGCCCTGAGCGGGATGACAGGGAGAGGCAGCTCTCTGCAGGTCGCAGCTTCCCAGCCCTGGCACCAGGCAGGCGTGGTGAGCGTGGGCTCCAGACCATGATGGCTGCAGGGAGTCATCCTCTGTCACGTGCTGCTGGTGGTGGGGTGGGGGTGCTCCAAGCACATGCCGGGACTCCAGGGGTCAGGGGCTTCAGCTGGCAGGGCAGGAACAGCCAGCCGCACAGTCCTTGCAAGATGCATTTGCTGGGGAGCGGAGGGCAGGCCGTGCCGCTGTGTGCAGTCACGTTCCCGTCCTGCTGTCGGAGCTGAAGGGGATGGGGCCCGGGAGAGTCCCTGTGTCTGGTGTGTCTGCATCTGCCTCTGCACCCTGCTTCCCAGCCTGGCTTTGTCCTGTCCCCGACCTCTGTCCCTGTGAGGCCCGACAAGCCCAGGCCTGCTTCCTGTGGGTGTCAGTGGTGTCCAGTGGCTGTGCCTGCGCCGCCCGATGACAAGGTACCCGGCTCTCCTGCTCTCCTGCTGCACCCGCCAGGTTGTGGCAGGGTGTGAAACGGTGGGAGCACACTAGCTTAGTGGCGGTAAGGAGACTGAGAGCCCCTCTTCCCGGGAGGGTGGCTGTTTCCGGAATTAACTATGAGGCGGGGTGGGGGTCGGGGCGGGTAAGTTGCACAGGGAGGAGGGCAGCCAGGTGGGGAGGTGTGCAGCCGCTGCCCCCAGGAAGAGAGGCCTGCTGCCTTGCTCCAGGGCCTGTCACCACGGCTGAAGTCTTCGCTGCAAGCTCTCCACTTGCTGGGTCTCTTGCCTTCAAGGTGATGGATGTGCGAGCCACATGGAGGAGCATTCTATTCTGTAGGAATAACAGGCTACAGCAAAGGCCACATTCTAAGGATTGGAGCATGGTGGATAATTTAAAATTGTTTATATGTTTGGCTGCTTTTTTTTTAAACATATACTATAAATAATAGTAATATAATATACTATAGTAATAATAGTATAAATATAAATATAGTATAGTAATAGAATAGTAATATAAACAGTGTTTATATTACTGTTTTCAGTAGGAAATGAGAAAAGATGGTATTTGGTTTGGGGGTCTTGAGGGGTGTGTAGGAGTTTATCGCATAGACAGAGGAATGTTACAAACAAATGAAAGAAGTCGGCATGTGTCTGGCAGAGCAGACGTTTGAGAAGAGTGGGTGGAGAAACAGGCACGAGTGGGTCTCTGAAGAACCTTGCAGCCAGCAGGGCTCTGCCTGGGAGCAGTTACTGAGGGGGCATGGGCAGAAGAGGCGGGAGGCCTGCTGTGTGCAGATGTCAGAGCTGGAGGGCAGCCAGGTGCTGCCTGGGCTCCGCGTCCTGGGCTCAGTGTCCTGGTCCTTGTCGTGCTGAGGCCTCCTAACTGCTGCATGAAGCACATCCCTTGTATCCCCTGCCATTGAGCAAATCGAGGTTAAGTGATTTGCTCAAACCCTGCCCAAGCAGAGAATGCGGAGCCAAGATTCCAGCTCAGGTCTGCCTGGCTCCTGATCCCGATGATAGAGATGGGAGGAATACCTGGGAGGCTGGCAGCCACGATTTTGCAGCACACCTGGGGGTGGGGGTGAGGGAGGGTAGAGGGATGAGGCGGAGCCGTAGGTTGGGAGGCGGGGCATGTGGTGCGTGGGTCCTAGCCCGGGTTGGCCAGTGATGTTTTCAGTCTGGACACAGGGGCAGGGATTAGCAGGGCTTAAGGGGATGATGCTGAGCTGTTTGGACACGCAGCTGCCGGCGCATGCGCAGCCTCCTGGTGGAGTTGCCCGGTAGCTAACCATCTGTAGGGATGGAGAGAACAGTGGTGGCAGTAGGAGCCCTGGAGCAGAGGCGCCCCTGGGGAGCGCAGCATCCTTCCAGTAGAGGACACGGGAGTTCAGCACCCTCAGGAAGAGTGAAGAGGCTGCACGCCGGGCTTGGTCCTTGGGCCCAGCACCACCTGCAGACACACACAGTCTCAGGGGCCAGGCGGGGTGGGGGCCCTGGTGTTCCGTAGATGGAGAGGGTGTGGACAGCCATGGTGTGTGTCTGAATCACTCCTTTTCCCTTGGCCCCGAGCCAGCCTCCTTCCCAGACCAGCCTGATGTCAGATTAGGCTGACCTGAACGTGCAGGGCTGCCTGGTGTCCCTCCTTGTGGGATGAGATAAGGGGAGCCAGCCTGGCCTTGCTGCAGAAACTGGAGCCCTGCACCGCAAAGGCAGGGGCGGGAGGGCCGCCTGCGCAGGGGGCTGACCTGGCCGGCTAAGGCTGGGGGAGGAACCTTCAGCTCCCCCCCACCCCCCACCCCAGTGTGCTGTTTTCCTCCAGGGCTCGGAGAAGAGGAAGAGGTGGGAGAGGGCCAGCTCTGAGGTGGGGGAGGGTGGGTGGTGGCGTGTATTCCCGAGAATACGGTAGATTGTTTTGGAAAATTTTTCTTGGCTGGAAGTTGCATGTCCTGTCTGCTCCTTGGTGTGGATCTGTCACTTCACCGATGCTGTTGGGGAGACCGGGGAAAGGGCGGTAGACAGCGGGGCAGGCTGGTCCCCGGCCACAATGTGGGGCACGGGAAGACCAAGGGATGCCCCCAACCCCTAGACCTGGTGGCTCTGGTACTCCAGGGTGGTGCTGCGAGATGGCGTGTACAGGGGGTGGAGCGGGGAGGAATGGTTTGGCTCAGACCTTGGGCCCTGCCTTCTCCACAGCCCTCTGCACTTGGGGTCCCTGCAGCTACTCCAGCGATGCCTTTCTGCTGCAGCTACCTTACTCCTGCCTGGCAGAGTCACCTCTACCCCTGGGGCTTCCCCCGGCGGCGAGGATGGGACTGGGTGGGAGTGAGCCCCGTGGGAACGCACCAGGGCCCTCCTGGGGTCTGTCTCCTCCACCTTGCACCTGAGCAGGGAGAGGAGTCTCCATCTTCTGCCTCAACCCTACGCTCAGCCCTAAATACCTGGTAGGAAAGAGTCAGTGGATGCTTCAGATGCCATGCCAGTGAGAGGGTGTGTGTGAGACGCCCCGGGGCCAGGACGGAGAGGAGGAGCCTGGGCAGGTGGGCTCCGCAGAGCCGGGTGCGGCGTCCTGAGGGGGCTCGTGCAGGAGCGGCTCGGCCGCCAGAACCTCGCAAGGTCAGAGTCAGACCCCGACCCTGGCCCGCGCGCTCCGTGGCGCAGCTGCGGCCGGTTTGTGGGGCGGAGATGTCAAGGCCCGGCTGAGGGCGGGGCGGGCCGGGTCTGCTCCCGTGGGAGCGTGGCGGCGGCGGCTGGGTGAGGGCTGGGCTCGGGGACGCGCGCCGAGGAGCCGGGCAGGTGGGCGCTGCGCATTCTCGGAGTTAAGGGGAAGCTGCGGCAGGTGGAGGGGTGGGCCTGGAAGGTCGGGTCTGGTGCAGTTGAGACGGAGGCTTCCCTTCCTGGGCATTCGTTTGGGAGCATTCGATTCGCCAGGAACCTCGTCGGTGGCCATGGAACCCTGGGGTCCCGCGCGCAGGCCAAGGTCGAGGTAGCCGTGGTCCCGGGGCGGCGGAGTGGACCCCCGCCAGTAGCGCGGCGAGGCCCCGCGGGGTTGGGGCGGGGCTCCGGGAGAGGCCGCGAGCAAGGCCGCCCTGCGGTGCGGGCCAGGATGCGGCCGCCCTGGCGGGCGAGGCGCTGCGGCCGCCCTGCCCTCCTCCGGGAGGATGCTCGAGGCCCGGCCCCTCAGGACGCAGGGCAGTGACGCCGCCGCCGGGGCCGCAGGAGGGGCGGGGGCTGCGGGCGGGCGTCCGGGACGCCGGGAGTCGGCTCCATGGGGGAGCGATCTGCTTACCAGCGCCTGGCCGGGAGCGAGGAGGGCCGGCAGGTAATGCGTGAGGCTGGGGGATAGCCAGGTACCGCCGGCTGCCAGCGGCCTGCTGACATCCCTGCCCTCTGCAGAGCTTGTCAGGGACAAGAGGTCTGCGCTGCTGGGTCCCGGCTCCAGGGGCTGGGGCGAGGTGTGGGCTTGTGAGCGTGTGTCAGGGCCGGGGTCGCGGCGCTGGTGGCGAGTTCCCTATGCCGGCATCTGCCTCCGTGCCCTTGAGTCCTCTGGGATCCAGATCCTCTGCTTTCCAGGCTTCAGTGCGCTGTGGGAGCCTAGGGTAGCACTGCTAGGATTTTTACTCCGACTTTAAGGGCACTGAGGCTCTGCGTCCTGGACAATCCCAGCCACTGGCCAGTTGAATATGCATACGAAGCCAAGCATCCTTGTTTGCTCTGGGAAATATGGTCACCGGATTGATTTATGGGGCCGTTTCCTTTCCCCTGGGAGAGCCAGCTCTTTCTCTCATGGCCAGCAGAGGGCAGTGGCTGACAGGAGGAAGGGGAGCTGAGCCAGAAAGGTGGGGGCTATTTGCTTGGGCTGGGGGAAAGAGCCTGTCTGTCTGCTCGCTCTCTGTCTCTCTGAGACACATGCACACACAAGTTTACTTCCTGCAGCAGGCTTGCTGCTCGTGCTGCTGCTAGGGCTTGTTCTTAGCAGACATCCAAGAGATGGGTCGCCACTGGGGCCAGGTGGATTGGAGCCTGCACTCCTGGGAGTTTTTCACCTGGCTCTACTGCTAGGCTTCTCCAGGGTGGTGCCTGACAGGGTGCTAGGGGCAGGCCTCTGTGGCCAAGGGCATGATGTGTCAGGGTTCAGGGAGCAGTCAGCTCCAGTGTGACTTTGGCCTGACCTCATCTTGTCTGTTGGCCCTGACCTCAGTTGCAGGCTGGTTATTCACTTGTTCTGAGAAGAGGCTGCACCTGGCTCTCTCTGCAAGCTTTGGGTGTGTGGGAGGGATGGGGGATGGTGAAGAGGGCCTGGCTGATGAGAGAGACCCCCTGCCTCCCCCCTGGTCAGACCAGGAAACGGCTGTCCCCTCAGGGAGATCCAACACTGGGGGAGAGGCCCCAGGATGCCGACTCCCCCAAAACACTGGCTCCAGCTGCCTGGCCCACCAGCCAGCTGGGGTTCCCTGAGCTGGTGGCCAGCTGGACGGGGACAAGAGAGCAGTGTGTAAGAAAACAGGGGCACCCGAGGCCTGGCCGGGGAAGCTAGGAGAGCCAGAGACAGCTTCCTGCAGCTGTCAGGTGTGTCTGGGGGCCCACAGTGAGGGTGGTGTGAGAGCAGCTGGCGCCCTTGAGGAGGGGCAGAGGGATCATTTGTCAGCTCCAGGAACGTGGGGGGCCCATGGGGATGTGGTGGAGCCTCTGCAGCCCCTCGTTGTCTGGGTGGTGGGGGTACTGCTAGGAGACATCCCACTGCTTGGGGTCCTGCAGCAGCTCTGGGGTGGGGTTGTCCCAGCAGGGGTCTTGTGTCATGTTTTGAGGGGTTCTGGACCTTGGCCAGCTGGTCTGGGGGAGGAGGCACCCTGGATGTCGTGGGCAGCAGACAAGGCAATCCCAGGGGAGGGGGCGGAGTGCCTCACCCCCACCCCACCCTTGCTCTTGGCTGGGCTGCCCCACTCTGGCAGGCTGCCGGCCTCCTATTTCCGTCGGGCACCAGGGTAACAGGGCCACATGAGGGTCTGAGCCAGGAGACACCCAGCCAAGACTGGGGTGGGGGAGGGGGAGGGTCCAGGAGAGTGTCTGGGATCCAAGCCCCCACGGCCCCAGACAAGCCCATCCGGGGGCCTGCAGTCCCTCTCTGTACATGCTGTTTGATTCACATAGCCCGGCCCCCAGCCCCAGAATCCCAGGAGTTGTCCGCAACTGTGAAGTCTGCAGTGGAAGCCGGAGACAGGGGGCCTTGTGTGTAGGGAGGCAGGGGGCCAGCGCGGGCGGCTGGGAGGAAGAGTCCCCCGTTCCTGCCGCCTTCTTGGCAGAGATTCAGAAAGGTCCTTTTTCAGCCAGTGTCAGAGCTGCTCGGCTGGGGAGGGCGGGCGGGAGGGCGGGAGGACAGTCGGGTGGGGGAGCCAGGGAGTAGGGCTGGAGCTGTGACCAGTGCACTGAGGAGAAGACAGCAGCAGGAGGAGGACCCAGGCTGCAGCCAGCCAGGAGGAGGGCCAGGCCGGGCTGTGGCCACCCAGTGGGCTTGCAGCAGAGCCGAGGGGCCCGGCCCGCTCCTCTGCCCTCCCCCAGTGCGGGGCTTGGGGGACCCCTGGCCAGCTCAGGAGCTGCTGCTCACCCACTCCCCTGGGCAAGATTTGCAGGGACCCGCTCAGGGGGTCCCCTGGGTGGCGATGCCAGCGGCTCGGCGGTTCCCCGGCCTCGAGCTCTCCTTCCCGCTCCTGGCCAGACTGCGGCGACGTCTGTACACAGTGAGTGGGGGCTGGGGCTGGGTCGGCTCCTCCGTGCCTGCACTTCACCTAGGGGCAGGGGTTGGGCCCGTCGGGGGCCGAGGAACAGGTCTGCGTGGCCTCCCTTCTGGTCTCTGCATAGGTACTTGTGCCAGGTGTATTGTATGCTGGCCACAGAGCTGCATGTGTCAGACACAGGTGTGCAGACACTGTGCTGGGGGCCAGGCACGCTGCTGTGCTTCACAAAGGGACCCTTGGGCTGGAGGGGGAGCTGGCCAGGGGGAGGGGGCCTGTCCAGGGTCGCCCTGGGCTGAGCAGGAGCCACGGGACTGGAGTCCTGACTCCTTTCTCCACACCAGGCTCTCTGCGTTCTTCCCAGCCTTCCCCCACACTCCTTGCACAGAGCGGCCCTGTTCCCGGGGTGGGGAGCAGGGAGGGGCCCTGTTCCCTGGGCTGGGGGGCAGGGAGGGGCGTGTGAGGGAGAGGGTGCGGGCTGCTGTGCTTGCTAAGTAGCTTTGGGGAGGAGGGTCAGGATGAGGGGTCTGGAACCCTGGGACTTGGGAGAGGGTGCAGAGGGAAGAGAAGGGGACCCCAGACTGTCTGCCCTGCAGGGGGCTCGAAGCTGAGCAGGGCAGTGGGGCCGGGGCAGGGAGGGTAGCAGTACCGGCCGGCTCCCCCAGTGCACCTGTGGGCTTCCCTCTGGAAAGCACTTGCGTCCCACACCCTCTCTGTAAGCAGATGAGCTCGTGGAGCGCGAGTGAGTCAGGACCGCTGAAAGCTTAGAGCTGTGCCCGGCAGCGCGCGAGTGTGCTTGGAGCATTAGGTGGTGTTTTTACTGTGACTCTTCTGAAATAAAATTAATACAAGTTGAATCCGTTAACTCTGCGTGTGCAGCTGTAGTGAGACAGCATAATGCCAGCTTAGATGCAAAGGAGACGTGGAAGCAGTGGACAGTGTTTTGTGTGTTCTGATGTGTGAGCGATGGAGTGAGCTGCCAGTGGTGGGAACAGTTTCCGGGAAGCAGGGCTGCCTACCATTGCTGGCTGGCAGGAGTTTGGAAATCAGGCTGGGTTGTCTTCACTTTCCAAATAGTGGACTTCCACTGTGTTGTGAATACAACTCCACTTTCTCCTCCGTTTACCCTGTGGGTCTGGGAAAATTCAGTGTTTATTGAAGCTGCCAAAGTGCTTTCTTGTTCTTGTGTCAAGTGGGATTGGGTTGTGGGTTTGGGTGATTGTTAACGATTTCACCTGCATGAATTTCAGTGGTGGGGGATTTGGGACAGTGTGAGACTGTCCTGTGCATTGCGGGATAACTCGTGGTGTTCCCCATCTCCCACACACAGTGAGTGATAGCCAGAGCTGGCCTCCCTCCCCCACCCGGAACCATCCAAATAATGGATGATAGCTTTAAGTTTGGAAGCTACCGGCCGGCCCAGCTGCCTGGCCCAGTGGCCTCGGTGGACGAGCCAGGGTTTGAACTGAGGGCTCCTCATTCCTCTTTGTCACTCTGTGCTGCCCTGAGTGGCCTGGAAAAGTCTGAGCTGCCGGCACTGTGCTGGCAGGACCACTGGGAAGTGTGGGGGTGTGGGCTGCTAGGGCCTGCTTCTTCTAGAGCTGGAGATGAGGCAGCCCCCCAACCCCAAGGGGGCACGGGGAAGGGGTCAGGGACAGGCTTGGTGTCCTGGGGGTCAAGGCCCCTTGGCTTTGAAGGGGTCAGCCGCTTCTCTCTGTGGGTCTGGGAGAGTGTGGGTCAGAGGTCACTCTGGTAGCGGACTGTGGCCTGCAGTTGTGTTTTGTTTGACCAATACGTGTGTGTGTGTGTGTGTGTGTGAAACTTGAACTAGTTGATGCTGTCTAAATGTCTGGAGAATGTTAAGTGAAAACAAGGAGTAGAAGGGTGTGGGCGTGGGTGGTGTGAATATTTACATGGCAACATGAAGCCTGAAAGGGGACGTATGGGACATTACTGGCATCCATAAAAGAGCTTTAATAGTGGGATTTCATCTGCAAATTCAGAGTGCTGGTGTTTCTTTAAGAAGCTGAAAGCTTTGGCAACAGCCCTGCAGTGACTCCTGACAACCAGGACAACCAGCCGTGGACAGGAGCTGAGCTCCCCACCGACTGGGGTGTCTGCAAACCCGCCCAGGGCTGTGCACTTGCTGTGGCACTTGGGTGGGGGCCTGAGGCAGGGTTCGGATTGGCGGGAGAGGCCCCAGTGACATTAGGCATCGGAGGAACTTAGCTTAGGGCGCATCTGGGCCCCAGATCTCCAGGTGGGATCCATCAGATAATGGAACCTGAAAGAACGTTTCCTGGAGAAACCCTGGGTGGTTTTGATCCCATTTCAGTTCCATGGGCCTGTGACCCAGTGAGCACGCTGAGCCCAGAGGGGCTGATCTCGGGTCACTCGGGCACAGAGCCCAGATTTGGAACCAAGTAGGACTCTGGCTCCGGAGCCAGGGCTGTCTCTCGGTTGCCCTGCCTCTGCCCTTTCTTGCTGGCGGGGCCGTGGGGCTGGGGTGCACCGTTGTTTGGGGAGTAGAAAAGTGGCGGGAGCCGATGCAGGCTGCCCCGTGGTGGGAGGCAGGTGGCCCGCGGCACTGACAGGCAGGCCTCCCTGCCGTCCGTTGGTCGCTGAGCCATTCTCCCCTTCCCCCAGAGGCTGGGGAGCAGCAGCATGCAGCCCGAGGAGGGCACAGGCTGGCTGCTGGAGCTGCTGTCGGAGGTGCAGCTGCAACAGTACTTCCTGCGGCTCCGCGACGACCTCAATGTCACCCGCCTGTCCCACTTTGAGTATGTCAAGAATGAGGACCTGGAGAAGATTGGCATGGGCCGGCCTGGTAGGTGGGACGTCGGCCTTGCTGGCTGCTCCGCATAGCACTGGGGAGGTGGCGAGGAGGGCTGGGAGGGCCCCAGGGGTGCCACACGCCGAGGTGCAGGTGCACTGCCTTAGGTAGAGCCCTGGCTCCCCAGGATGCCCCGCGTGCCCCTGTTTGTTCTATCATTTGTCGGGGGCACTTCCGCGATCTCCCACTTGTGCAAGTTCCCGGTGCCCAGAGCTCTGGATGGAGATGGATGCTGACCTCTGTCTGCCTCCCCTAAAGATCTACTCTGAGTCGAACTCACATCTCTCTTCAGATTTATCCTCAGAGAGTGGCTGTGGCATATGGAAGTCACGGTGTTCTCTGCAGAACGTCAGAACTTACCAGTGCATTCAGCCTGAAAGAAATGGCTAAATAGTCATAGGCAGTGAGCAGCTGGGACAGGAGCCCTTGCACATGTGGGACGCTGGCCCCGCTTTGATTCCCGCCCTCCCCCCCCCCGAGTATTGGGAGACAACCGCTACTGCTTGGTGTTGGGGGGTAAGCGGCCCCATCTGTTTTGAGACCACTGCCTAGCGGAGACCATGAGGCCCTGGTTGCTTGGGCCTCCTAGTGTGGTGGGACCAAGGATGCCCGGGGCGTGGTGCTGGGAGCTTCCTCAGCAGCCCTGGGTTCTCCTTCCCTCCCTGCAGGCCAGCGGCGGCTGTGGGAGGCCGTGAAGAGGAGGAAGGCCCTGTGCAAGCGCAAGTCGTGGATGAGCAAGGTGGGTAGGTGGGGAGCCCTCCCCGACGCCCCGACAGGCTCAGTCGCTCTGTGTTTCCTGGCACTTTGTACAGGCCTCCCTCTGCCCGCGGCTTATCAGGCAGGGCGCTTGTGGAGCCGCTCACCTAAGTGTCTGTCTCCGCCAGAGATGGACACGTGAGCAGCCTGTGTGCTCGCTGAGGGCCCCGCGGAGGAGACAGGGGCTCGTTGACAAGTGCTCCTTCACCCGAGCCGGGCGCTGTCTGAGTGCCGGGGCCCAGGGCCAGCGTGGGGCGGTGGGGCCTGTCTGGATCCAGGGCATCTGCGTTGCTTCCCTCCCCTCCCGCCCGCTGGGCCTCTCTGGTCATCCAGCCCTGTTGACAGCTTCCTTTCCCACAGCCGCCCGCCCTTCCCCGCCAGGCCTCGTCCTAATTTGGGTCTGTCCTGTAGCGAGTGAGTCCCTGGTTGACTCAGTGGAACTTTGCCCATTGTCTGGAAGACAATGAGAGAGGAAGTGAGCCAGCCAGGGCCTCCCTCTCCACTTCTGGCCTCAGGGCTTGGGCAGAAGCTGGGCAGGGCAGAACAGCTGGACTGGGATTGGGCATCAGAGATTTCCTGGCCATCCCTTGGGATCCTGAGGCCTTTCCTGGGGACACTGTCCTGGTGCCTTGCCCAGGTTTTGGGGAAGGATGAGTGTGTTAGGCAGGTGGAGGTGGGAGAGACGAGCCATGTGGCGTGCTGGGGTATGGGGGGTCTTGGTGGGGCAGTCACCACCCTCCCCAGCCCACAGCCATGTCCTCAGGAAGATGGTGCCGGCCCCATGGCCTGGCTCACCCTACAGGGCCGTGACAGGGGTCCCCCAGGTAAGCGCTGCACTGAACTCACTAGCGTCAGGAATTCTGGTTACTGGGAGGAATGGCGGAAAAGAAACCCTCAAATTTGAGAGGCCTCCTTAGCCCAGGTCTGCCCCCTCCCGCGCCAACTCGGGGGGCTGGGAGGCCCAGACTGAGAAAGGCCCAGGCTTTGGGTGCCCCAGTAGAGGCGTCTACGCCAGGCCAATGGGCTCCTTCCTTCTGTCTCTTGCCCCTTGCCCCCTTGCTTATCCAGCCCAGGCCTCAGATCCCCTCCAGCCCTCTTCCGTCTTTCTCCAGCCCCGGCTCTAGGCGCCACTCCAGAAACCCAGCTGTCTTCCCAGGCTCTCCCCCAGCGAGCCCAAGCTCCATCTGCAGCACACACAACACACACCCTCTTCCAGCCCAGCCTCAGACTAAAATTATCCTCTCCCCTGGGCAGGATGAAGGGCAGCCGGCTCCCTGGGGAGGGCAGAGACAGACAGCGCCAAATGGGCAACCCAGAGAAGGGGCCAGGGCTAAAAATGGACAGGGCGGCGTTCGTGGAGGGCCCCTCGGGCTGCTGCCCGTCTTTGTGGGTTAGGGGCTGGGCGCTGAGCGGGGGAGGGGTGAGGAGGAGACCCAGACCACACGGATGGGTGGGGTCTGTCCGGGCAGCAGGGTGTGGGGCCGCAGCGGCTCCAGGCTGGTTCCGGCACCTTCCCTGACACCGCTCTGAGGCTGTGGGTCCCTGCGTCAGGGTGTAGGGTCTGGAGGGAGTCTGTGCAGCCAGGCTGTCCCCTGGCAGTTTGGCGAAGCAGGGGGGCCAGCCCACCAGCTGGATCAGCGGGCTGGGCCTGAGTGACGGGCCCGGGGGCCCAGGGCTCCATCTGGCCCCTGGCTCTTTCCAAACAGGTGTTCAGTGGAAAGCGGCTGGAGGCCGAGCTCCCTCCTCACCACTCTCAGAGCACCTTCCGGAAGACCTCCCCTACCCCAGCGGGCCCCGCGGGGGAGGGGCCCCTGCAGAGCCTCACCTGCCTCATCGGGGAGAAGGACCTGCGCCTGCTGGAGAAGCTGGGCGACGGCTCCTTCGGCGTGGTGCGCAGGGGCGAGTGGGACGCCCCCTCTGGGAAGACGGTGAGCCCCGCGTCCCGCCCTGCCGGGCACAGCCAGGAAGGTGGCTTGCCCTGCAGTCCCCACTTCGGTTCTCTTAAGCACATTGGTTTCTCTTTTTGATTATGAAGATAATGTGCTTGTTGTAAGACCCTGGGAACTATGTGAAAATTAAGAAAACACATTGCTCGCAATGCTGCCACTCAGAAAACAGAGTTGGCGTTTCTGCCTCCCACCTCCCCTGGTATTTTGCTGGACTCAGTTAAGGTAAAGATCTTGGAGACAACTTTTTCCTCTTGTCCTTGCTTCCTGCGGGACAACGTACATCCACTAAGACAGCTAACCCTGAAGTGGAGCTTGCTTGCCCACCAACCACCGTAGCGTGGCCCAGGCCATGGGTAAGACTGCCCCCCAACCTGCCTCTCCCCCTTCCCCCAGGGGAGCTGCTTTCCTGACTTCTAGCACCATAGATGAGGTGTTGTTTTTTTTTTTTTGTCATAATTTAAGACATCTTTTTCCTTCTACACACAAACACCTAACGTTCCATTGTATTATAAAATCATCTTATACCATTTTACTACTCTGCCATCACACTGGGCATCTCGTAGCTTACTGTGGCTCCAGGAAGGAGAGGCCAAGCTGGTGCCCCCAGCTGTCCTTGCCCAGCCTGGCCGCAGGCAGAGTGTGCAGCACGGGCACCGGCGACACCTTCACCGCCTGAGGTGTGCCGGCCTGAGGCTGGAGTGGGGGCGGGGGAGGCCAGCCGAGCTGGCGGGGGCGGGGCAGACTGGCTCCGAGTGGGGGTGGGGCGTGAGTCCTGAAGCCCTGCACGTCCCACTCTGAGCAGGTGAGTGTGGCTGTGAAATGCCTGAAGCCGGATGTGCTGAGCCAGCCAGAGGCCATGGATGACTTCATCCGTGAGGTCAACGCCATGCATTCGCTTGACCACCGCAACCTCATTCGTCTCTACGGTGTCGTGCTCACCCCGCCCATGAAGATGGTGAGTGCCCTGGCCCAGGGGAGTCACAGGAGCAGGGTGAGAGGCCTGTAGGCTTTGGGCTCCCGGGTGTGCCCCTCTTCCTGCCTGTGCTGGGGTTGCTTTGTCCACACTGAGGTCAGAGGCCCCCCGCTGATGGTGGTAAAGGGGGCTCATGGGCCTAGCCCTGGGGCTTTCTCTGGGTTGCTAGCACGCATTGGCAGAGTGTTGCACCCATGGGAGGAGTTGGCCCTTAAGTCTAGTTTTTGGAACTTGTTTTTAAAAATTTAACCATTATTTATGTGTTTGCAAGGCAGAGTGACCCAGAGGGAGGGAAAGACAAAGGGAGATCTTCCATCTGCTGGTTCACTCCGTAGGTGGCTGCAATGGCTGGAACTGGGCCAGGAGCCTGGAACTCATCCGGGTCTCCCACGCGGGTGGCAGAGGCTCAGGTCCCTGGGCCATCTTCCTCTGCTTTCCCAGGCACAATAGCAGGGAGTTGGATTGGAAGCAGAGCGGCCAAGTCCTGAACGAGCACTCCAGTATGGGATGCTGGCGTTGCAGGCAGCGGCTTAACAAGCTATACCACATCACTGACCCCAGTGTTTAGAATGTCTAACCCGAGTCTTTTGAGTTCCTTCTCTCTGGGCCTCAGTTTCCCACACTGTGTGGAGGCCAGGAAGCAGCAATGCTCATGGCTCCGCCAGGCCTTCAGGGGGTTCCTGGGGGCCCAGCTCGGGGTGCTGAGAGGGGCTGGGGCTTACCCAGGCGTGTTCCTCCCTCCGTCTCCTTGGCCTCAGGTGACAGAGCTGGCACCTCTGGGATCGTTGCTGGACCGGCTACGTAAGCACCAGGGGCACTTCCTCCTGGGGACCCTGAGCCGCTACGCTGTGCAGGTGGCTGAGGGCATGGGCTACCTGGAGTCCAAGCGCTTTATCCACCGTGACCTGGCTGCCCGCAATCTGCTGTTGGCTACCCGAGATCTGGTCAAGATCGGGGACTTTGGGCTGATGCGAGCACTGCCCCAGAACGATGACCACTACGTCATGCAGGAACATCGCAAGGTGCCCTTTGCCTGGTGAGGGGCAGGCGCTGCCAGCTCACAGGGTCTACACCCAACCCGGGGCCTCCTGCACCCATCACGGCCACGACTCTGTCTGGGCCTGCCCCTGACCGGCCTGGGCCTGGGGTACCCCTCTTGCACAGCCATCCCTTCACCCGTCTGTGTAGTAAATCCTCGAGGTCCCGGGTGCCAGGGTCTGGGTCCCGACCAGACATAGAGACAAGGGGCCTGTTACTCAGTGGGCTAGGAAGAGGCTTCCCAGGGGACTCAACTGTGAAGTTGTCCAGGCAAAGACTAGTTAACGCTCTCTCGTGGTAGAGCCAGGATGGGCCCCGTATTCTACAACCAGGGCTGCTCACCTGCATACTGGGGGGTTATGTGGCACACCACCGTGTCCCCTGTGGGTTGAGATGACCGTGGTCCTCCTGTGCCAGGGGTACCGTCTCCCCGCTTCGGAGTGCAGGGCGCCGGTCCGGCAGCCCTTGTGAGCTAGGTTGCATGGCTCCCCTGTTAGGAGCTCGCTTTATACCCAGGGCGGTACCGTATTTCCTGGAACTTCCCTGTTGACATGGAATAATTGACAGCAGCCTTCTGGTTGGGGGTAGACTGTAGACTGTAGACCCCTCAAACTTTGTGAAGTGAGCAGCTTGAAGTTCCCTTTTCACGGACAGGGAGGGCGTGCCCTGGAGACTCCCCGGGTCCCCTCCCGTCTGAGTGGCAGGTTGCGCTCAGTCTGGGACACTCCCCCTCGCTCTGTCCCCAACTCCAGACTGCCCCCTCCCAGCTGTAGGCAGTGGCGTCCAGAGGCAGCGTGGGTATATTTGGGTGAAACCAGGATGACTCTTGGCACCCATTTTGGTTCTTCCCCAGGCCCTATGTGAATTTCCCACCCACGCTTTCCTGCTGAAATGGCCCAAATCCCAGAATCCTGTCCCAAGTCTGGGCATTGTGGTCTTCCCACCAGTTAGAGAACAGCCCGCCCGCCCCTGCCCTGCTTCCCGGCTGGGCACTTCACCCTCCTCCTCCCACCCTAGCTGCACGTGAACGAGGGACCTCAGTGCAGGTGGGGTCAGTGCACCTGCACACCGCAGTCAGGAAGTCCCCTCCTGTCCACTCGTCCCTGTCCCCAATACCCGCCGCTGGGCCTGGCTCCAGGCGACAGCAAATGCCTGTGAGACCAGTATTCTGTGTCCGTCAGGGCTCACGCAGGTAGGGGTGCACAGGTGGCCCTTTCGTTGACTCCTGCCTCTGCCAGGTGCGCCCCGGAGAGCCTGAAGACACGCACCTTCTCACACGCCAGCGACACCTGGATGTTCGGGGTGACGTTGTGGGAGATGTTCACGTACGGCCAGGAGCCCTGGATCGGCCTCAACGGCAGTCAGGTAAGGGGGCCGCGCTCTTTGTGGGCGGGTGGGGGTTAATTCCCTCCTTGGCACCCAGTCTGGCCTTGCTGGAACTGGCGCTCCTCTCCCTGCCCCAAGTCTGCCTCCAGGTCTCAGGAGGGGCTGACAGACAAGAGGTTGATGGGGGCGGGGAAGAGCTGGGACCTACTGTTGTCTCCTAGCCCTGCCATGGGTGCCAGGCTTCTACTGTGGAGGGCAGGCCTGGTGGCCAGCGGCAGCAGTGGCAGATGCAGCCTGGGCTGCAGGGACCATGGGAGGTGAAGAGCTGAGTGCGCTGCCTGTGCTCCCGACAGATCCTACACAAGATTGACAAGGAAGGGGAGCGCCTGCCGCGGCCCGAGGACTGCCCCCAGGACATCTACAATGTCATGGTCCAGTGCTGGGCTCACAAGCCAGAGGACAGGCCCACGTTTGTGGCCCTGCGTGACTTCCTGCTGGAGGTGAGGGGCTGAGCTGGGGTGTCCAAGTGAGAGGCTGCCCTGGGTCAGTCCCAGGGTGGGCAGTGACCTGTGTCTGCCCCCAGGCCCAGCCCACGGACATGCGAGCCCTGCAGGATTTTGAGGAGCCAGACAAGCTGCACATCCAGATGAATGACGTCATCACCGTCATCGAGGGAAGGTAGGACCGTGCCCTGGCCTGGGAGCCCTCCAAGGACGTGGGCCGGCAGGGCGCGCACACAGAGGGCACACCGTGGCGGCGACGGGCGGGGTCAGGCCCGAGCACCTGGGGCCGAGGGCACAGATGCTGCCGCTGCTTCGCAGACAGGGTGTTCCCTGTCCCCTGCGCCTGCTGTGTGGATCAGGGCTGGGCTGCCAGGTTGGTGAGGAACAGGAAGTGGCCCAGCCTGGCCCCGGGCCACAGCCGAACACTCAGGAGCGCCTGTCATTCCTTCAGGACTCCTGACCGCCCACCTGGCTGCCCTGCAGGACCCTAACACAGCCTGGACCTGCCGGGCCCCGCCCTCTTCCTGTCCTTTCCGAGTCCTGAGGCTCCCCTCAGGGCTTCCGGTGGCCTTGGCCTCCCCTGTCCTGTGCCTGGGCCTCCACCTTCACCCCTTTCTTGCGAGTCTCTCCTTGCAAGGCCCTCTCTGTTCCTGCCCTCTGCCCTCCCCTGCCCATGTGCCCAGAGCAGTCTCCGTCTGACAGGCCCAGCGTCCCCTGAGTCACCGCTCTTACCTGCAGCCCCCGCACTGTCAGCACCTGTCCCGGGAAGCCCCGCCCACATGCACCCCACCTTCTGTTATCTGATCCCCTGAGTGTCTGAGGAACTAGTTGGGGCAGGGCAGCCTGGAGATTCCTCTGGGGGCTGGGTAGCCCAGAGGGCCTGGACCAAGAGTGAGGCAGAGGAAATGCCCTGTGCTGCCCACTCCTCTGGCTGCACCAGGCCAGGCTGGGGGGCAGGAGGCTGCCCCGTCTGTGTGGGTTTCAGGTGGCGGGGAGCCTGTGTGCTGTGCCCCTAGGGTGGAGGAACACACCCTGAGCCCCCCTCTCCAACGTAGTGTCTGGGAGCAGGAATGGCACCCAACAGCCTGCAGGAGGCGGGTTCAGGTAGAGAGTCAGGGATGGCCGGGGAAAGCAGAGAGCTGCTAGGGGGACAGAGACAGGGTGGGGGCAGGGAGGAACAGCTGTGGGTACAGCACGCCCCTCAGGGGGCCCTGTGGAGGGGCCTGACAGGGCCTGAGGCCCCAGGTCTGGGCCTGCAACTGTTCCCACCCCCAGGGACTCTGGTAGGTCCTGGTCTTACCACTCCCATCTCTTGCCCTCGGCTGGAGCCTGCCTTCCCCAGAGGAATGACTCAGGAACTTGGTGTGTCTCTGGGGCGTGTGTCTCTGGAGCTGGTGCCCTGGGTCAGCACCGGAAGGAGGCAGGCTGTGGGTGGGGCTGTGGGAGTGGCTCCTCCTCGGAGGCCCCGGCCCTGCCGGTCCAGCCACAGGCTCCGGTTGACCCCAGCTGCTGGCTCCAACGCCGGGCTGCTGCCCCTGACGGTTGGACCCACAGGGCTCCTCATCCTGGGCCGCCAGCCCTGACTGGGACCTCAGTCCTGCCCCCAGTCCCTGGAGCTGCTCAGGAGGTGGGAGGTGAGGGGCGGATGGACGGGAGGTGAGGGGTGGGCATCCTGGTAGCCGGTGAGGCTGGGGAGTGGGTCTGCGCGTGTGCGCGGTCCCTGAGTGTCCGTGTCTCTGTCGGCCTGCGCGTGCCTCCTTGTGTGCGCGGTCCCTGAGTGTCCGTGTCTCTGTCGGCCTGCGTGTGCCTCCTTGTGTGCGCGGTCCCTGAGTGTCTCCATGTCTGTCGGCCTGCGCGTGCCTGTGTGGGCTCCCTCTGTCTCACTGCCTCCTTCTCCATGCTATCCTCCTCCTTGCTGAAACTGTCTGCTGGCCCCAGCTCTGGAGTTCCCCGGCCCAGCTGTGCCTGATCCCGAGGTCCCAGCGCTTCTCAGGCACTGGGCAGCCAGGAGGCTGAGCTTAGGAAGCTGCCCAGGCTCAGAGGGACGGGGGTGGCGGGGCTTCCACAGAGGGTCCGGCCAGGAGCAGGCAGTCTTCACCTTGCGCTTCCCCAGAACTGACCCTGCCATCCGTCTGGAAGGCCTGGGCTTGGTCCTGGAGCCCCTGCCTCCTGAGGTAGGGAGGCGAGGTCAGCAACCAGTACCTGAATGATCCCTCAAGGCGGGGGGACGCCCACGGAGAAGGGGGCAGGAGGGGTGTGTGTCGTGAGCTGAGGCCACGTTGTTCGGCCATTTCTGGAGTACTTGTGGCCAGGACAGGGACAGGGTCCGACAGGTGCGGAGCTGGGGCAGCCTCCGGCCTTCCTTGGCCCAGGCCCAGCTTTCCAGTCTTGTCTGCCCCAGGAGCTCGGCCAGGAGGCCCAAGGGCAGCAGCAAGTGGGGAGATTGCGCTGGAGGTGCCGTTGGCCTCTGCTCGGCGCTGTGGATGGCAGGCCTGGTGCTCCCCGCGCCACCAAGGCTCTGGGGCGCACAGGGCAGGAAGAGAGGGTGCGGCTGGAGCAGGCTGGGCTGGAAGGGACGGCTTCCCAGGGGGTGGGGGCAGTGAGATGCCGCACCGGCTGCCTGCAAAGTTCCTTTTGAGGTGTGTGTTGCTTCTGAGGGGCTGGGATGCACCTCGGGGGCCTCTCTCCTTTACACAGCCTCTGTACCCCGACTCTCCTGCCCCCAGGAGCAAGCGTGCGTCTGAGAGACAGTGCTGGGACTGACCGACAGCCACCCTGGGGTCCCTGGTCTCCGTCAGACCTCTGCTCATCCCTTGCCCTCTGCAGAGGGGGTCCAGAAGGAGGCTTCTGTGACAGAAGCTGGGCTGAGCCGGCAAGGGCAGTGGGGCGGAGGGAGTGGCCCCGGCCCGACCTGGCCTTGGACGGGAGTCTATTCTACTCGGAACAGCGGCTCCGCCTCAGCCACGGCTCTCTCCCGAGTTAATGAGCACCTCTGCAGAGGTGTGGGGAGCAGAGTCCAGCGTCCAGCCCTGGGGTGGAGGGACCGTCAGGTCGAGGGCGTCACTGGGGAACTGGTGGGGGTGCCGTGGGGGGAGTGGCCTTGGGTCCCCGGTGCCAGCTGTTCCTCCCCAGCGCCTGACCCTGGTGACCGTGTGCTCCGAGGGGAGCCTTTGTCTCCTTGAGGCGGCCCTGCTATTTCTGGATGGGCCTTGTGCCTTCTTGGGGTGGTGTCCTCTCTTCCTTCCTTTCCTGCCCTTCCCACCCTGGAGGGAGCATGGGTAATCACAGGGTTGCTGGTGTGCTGTTTCTGAGGGGCTGGGCTGTGGGAGCTCAGCACCACCTCCCCTGCCCCACCCCGAGGACACTGTGTTGGTGGCCTTGGGTTTTCGGTCTCTGGGAGGTCACGCTGCCCCAGCTCCTGCCACCAGCTTCCTGCAGGCCCTGTGGTCTGGCTGCATTTTGGAGCCTCTCTCTACATTTCTGGTCCTGGGCCAGGTGAAGTAGGGGTGGCAGGGAGGGCAGGCAGCCTGGTGCCACGTGTGTCCCATCAGCGTGAGGGCTGTCCCCACTTGTGCCTTTGCCAAGGCTCGCCCCGCATCAGGCAGGAATCTCACAATCCTTAGGGCTTGCAAACACCAAAGCGCGGGGGCCCAGCCCCAGCGCAGGCTGCATCTGCCCTGGGCAGGCGCTCCCTGCTAGACCTCTCGCTTTAAGACATGTGGAGCTCCCTCCACTCTTGGGGAGAGGAGCAGGGTGGCAAGGGTGAGTCCTCACCACCCCGCCATGGAGAAGGCCGCAGCTGCACCCCGGTGCCTACACACACTTGAAGCTGGGAGTAGACAGTGCGCCGAGGGCTTGGCTCCCAACCTGGTACTGAGGTCCGGGTGTCTCTTGAGTCCCATGTATCTCAGAACCACTGGGACCCAGCTGAGGAGTGAAATCCAGGGGCCAGGAGGCCTGGGGCTGGGGAAGGAGGGACGCCAGGGCGTGAGCTTTGCAGACTTAATTCCTGAGTCCGCTGAGATCTATCTGGTAACTGTGGGCACGTCGTGTCGCCTGTTGGGACCTGTTTCCTTATTTGTGAGCTGTGGGAAGAGCTGCCTGAGCCACCTAGAGAGCTCAGGGTACAGCTGTGTGCAAGTGGCAGGGATGGGGAGTGGCAGAGGGAGGGGCGCCGAGGCCGGCTGCCTGGCCCTGAGGCCCCGCCCTCGTGCTCGCCTTCTGCCCAGGTGAGCAGATGTGAGAAGGGTTCCACCACCTCTGCTTACTGCGTCCTCTCTGTCGGGCAGGGCCGAGAACTACTGGTGGCGCGGCCAGAACACACGGACGCTGTGCGTGGGGCCCTTCCCTCGCAACGTGGTGACCTCGGTGGCTGGCCTGTCGGCCCAGGACATCAGCCAGCCCCTGCAGAACAGCTTCATCCACACGGGGCATGGCGACAGCGACCCCCGCCACTGCTGGGGCTTCCCCGACAGGATCGACGAGTGAGTGCGCAGCCTCCCCGGCCCCAGCCTTGTTCTTGGGAAGCTCCAGACCCCTAGGCAGCCACAGCCCAGGAGTCGGGGGTCCTGTTGGGAAGGCCCTACTGTGTCGGTGAGCTCCCGGGGTGCAGAGCGGGTCGCTCAGCAGGTGGCATGGTGCATCTGCCTCGAGGTCAAGGTCGGGGTTGCGAACGTGCTGTCTGCATGTGCAGCTCCAACTGCTTCCCAGAGGCGGTTCCCAGGTCCAGCACCTAGGGCCCCCGGGTGCACAAGGGGGACAGTGTGGGTCCATCCTTCAAGTCCCCAAACCCTGTTTTGCCTACAGGGAGAGTCTGCCGGGCGGCTGTGGCAGGGGCCTCAGGAGTTTGCCTGTCACAGTCACCTGTAGCAGGTGTCGTGCCGCACTCTGAGGCCCTCACACACGCTGCTCTGCCTTCTGACCCCGCACGCGCTCCTGACCCCCTGCCCGGGGCCGGGGTTCATGCCTTGTCCTTCGAGAGCCTTCCTCCCGGATGACACCACAGGGCAGGCTCGGCGCTGCGTCTTCTGCTCTCACAGTGGCGTCCTCAGTGCTCTCCTGGCTTCAGCGCCGGTGGATGCGCTGGGGCAGCACCGCTCATGGGCTCCAAGCGGGCCCGTGCAGGGGAGCGGCTCCCTGGGCAGCCGGGTGACCCCTCGCACGGGGACAGGGCCATGGGTGTCTCGGACCAGGAGCAGCAGAGCCACTGTCTGGCTTCCTCTCTCTGCCTCGCCGCAGTCCCGTGCCCGGCACACACTGCCCGAGTCTTCCTAGCTGCCTTCCATCCCTGAAGCACAGGCAAGAACAGGATGTTGAGGCAGAATGGGGTGGGGTGCGGGTGCCGGAGAGCAGGGCCCCGCTGAGTGCTGGCTGTCAGTGCCGGGGCGGAGTTGGGGACAAGCAAGCATCCGGCCTGCCCTCCGGGGCCCATAGAGCCCTCTGTCTGCCCGCACTTTTCGCTGCCCTGCCGTGGGCACAGGTCTCATTGCCCCACAGCATCTCATTGTAGGCAAAACTCAGGTCAGGGGCCACTAAGGATGGGTCCACACTCCCCCTGGGTGCAGAGACCCCCCAGGCCATAGCCTTACCCCTGCTGGCATACTGGCCTGAGGGCACAGCCTGGGGAAAGGTCGCGACCCCTGCCTCTGAGCAGCCGTTTCTGTCACCTGCTGCCGGGGCCAAGGTCCTGGAGGTGTGCACAGGCCTGGCTGGGGGCGCGCCTGGTTCACAGTCAGGCCAGCAGGGCTGGGGGGAACTCTCCAGGGTGACCTCGGAGGGGAGCCACCCCGCGGGCCTGTACCTGGGACGAGGGTCGCTGTCTCCTTGTAGTAGAAGGGTGAGGTGGGGCGGGGGGGGGGACACAGATCTGGTCATGTCCTGGACGGCCCCCCTCCCTGGGACCCCCAGCAGCTCCTTCCGCCAGCCTACACGCCCCTGTGCAGCCCTTTCTCCTGCCAACTTCGCACATGCATGTCCTCCCTGAGTGGCGTGCTGAAGCCAGGCCCTCCTGCTCCATGACCCACACACAGAACACCAGGCCCTGGGAGGGGCCGGCCCCTGTCCGTCACTCCCAGAGCCAAGTGCGGGCCTGTGTGGGAGCAGGCCACCACCCGCTGCCCCACTCCTGGCCTGCTGTAGCCATTCTGGCCCTGTTCTTCCAGGCTTGAATCAGCCTCGCTGACTAAGTCCCAGATCCTGACAGTTGGTGCAGGGGTTGAGGGTGCAGGTGGCCCAGCCTCCCCAGCTCCTGGCAGGGCCCAGCAGGACACCTCCCACCCACCTTGCCTGAGGACCATGGCCCGGATGCCTCTGCCGCGGGCCCTCCCCGTGCGTGGGACCTGCGGGACACAGCAGAGTGCGCTGGCGAGGGACTGCCAGTGTGGGTTGGGGTGCCGTGGGGACAGTGTCAGAACCCTGGAGTCGGCGGCTTCTAGCCCGGGCTCGGGTTTGGTTTCTCTGCTCCTTCTCCCAGAAGCCTCCTCTGCTTGCAGCTTAGATCTGCAGAAGGGACTGGAGCTGTAGCTTGGGCCCGGGGAGCCACATGCTGCCTGCCCCTCAGCTTTCCCTGTGACACTCAGAGTGACAGGTGTGGCGATTCTGCGGGAGCCCACTCCCCCCACCCCCTGCCTCTGACCTGGCTCTCCTCCCACAGGCTCTACCTGGGGAATCCCATGGACCCTCCTGACCTGCTGAGCGTGGAGCTGAGCGCCTCCCGGCCCACCCAGCCTCCAGGAAGGGGGAAAAGTAAGAGCCCCCTGCTTCGTGGTGTCCAGGTCGTTGGCTGTGGGGGCTTGGGGCGGGGGGTACTGCTTTCTCGGGCTGCCCTGGGCCTGCGGTTCCGGCTCCAGGAGCAGCGGGTGGGACAGCTGCGTCCCTGGCTCTGGCTGGGCGTGGGGTAGAGGACGAGAGGCAGCTGTATCCGCCGAGGTGGACTCCCTCGGCTTGGTCCTGCATTAGCCCTGCCTGCCTCGGCTTCCCCCTCCCTCCTGCCGCCCTCGTCGCTGGCCCTGCTCTGATCCTGGCTTTCCTCACTGCGCTTAATCCCGCTCTCTCCTGAGCCAAAACCACCCCACGGCCTGCATCTCCCAGATCCTCTGCCTGTGACTCCGGAACCCCATCATCCGCATCCTGCCACTGCAGTGCCTCGCATGTGCCGGGTCCTTTGCTCCTTCACGCGCTCCTATTCACTGCTCTCTCTCTCCCTCTCTCCCCCGACTCTGTTCCCCCTGCCGTCCCCTCTGTGCCTCTCTGTCCCCCCTTCCTGTGCCCTGTCCCACTCTGTCCCCTCCCCTGCCCTGTCTTTTCTGTCCCCCCC